AACGGCCCGTACAGCCAAAGAAAATTCGGAACGGCTGAATTCCTCAAGTTTTAAGGAGACTTTTAAAGTTGTCAGACCTAAATAGACATGACTTGTTCCTGTGTATTAGCCTACGATTATCAGAAACTCCCGAAAAAAGGCGCAATGGCTAGTACCATTAACCTCGTGCTGAAAGTGAAGAATTCGAGTTTGCCAAAAAGAAAACTATTCCATCGATGACCTGTCCATTCATTTCTATGATAAGCCGATTGTAACATCTAAGTTGACCTTCGATGTCAAAAAAATGTCGAAGGCGTATTGAATACAGAAAGCAGGAAAGAATGGCGAAAAGAGGCAGGAACGAGACAAGACGTTTCGGTCCATTAAGTCATGTACGTCTTAACTCAACACTGGTACAGGACCAAATTAGTTAAAACTACCACCAACCTACTTTTTAGCGGCTATCACTTGGGCTATTTTCAACTGTTTAAGTCTCTCACATATATCAGTAGATACAGGAGGTTTTTGCTTTTTGACTTATGCGCAGTATAAAAATTTACTTTGTGCTTTGGCCGCCAATTTTTACTGGGTGGCTCAGGAGGAAACGGTGCACCTTCCTCTAGCAATGTATCACTTTTTGAGGTGACTGCTGGTAGTTTTTCAAGAATAAATTTAGCCGTTTCAACGGCTCTCGTCATCGTTGACATAACAAGACTGTCGAATTTGACACCACTGTTTTGCAATCGTTCAGCAACACATTTCGCTTGTTCTTTTCCTGTAATAGCAAGTAAAATTTCCGGAGAAAAACCTCAGAAGACGCAAAAAAAAAACCTCAAAATATTTTCCTGTTTTTTTTCGCATTCTTGAAAAAGTTTTAATTTCCTCCTACAGAGATATTAAACATTTTACAATCACTCAGATAAGTACCGAGTGAATCCGCAATCTCGGACTCCTTATAAGCCACACTTTTCACTTTTTCCGTCTCTTCTCACTTTCATAGCACTCATTTACATAGCCATAAAGAATTCTCTTATATTCTTCCGGATCTACACTCTAATTAATTAATTTTAGTGCATTTTAAGTAG